GTCCTACTCCTATTGTCAAATATATATATCTCACTGAAGCGAGAATTAAAAATTATTATCATCTTACATGAAGCTTTAAGTTAACATGGAACACCATTATCTCAACCTACTAATTTATTACTGATCAAGTCAATCACTCATGATAGTCATCCCAGGCAAAGCCATCTAAATCAGCTTAAATAAAATGAAGAAGGAAAAAGAAAATTATGCAGTAAGCAACTCACTTTTCCTCTTAGAGTGCAAGCGATTCCGAGTGGCTGGCCTTCTCTAATTTTAAAAGTGGCAATGGCCTTCTTTGCTCTAGTCTTAACCGGTCTCTGCCCAGTAATGAGTGCCAAGTCGTTGATAGCTGCTTCCAAACCCTTTGCATTCTGGGCAGCATCTCCGATTCCACAGTTCACTACAATCTTTTCTACTTTCGGGACCTTTATACAGTTACAGAGTGACATAAGGCATTCAACAATAAATCATCTTATTAAGCTCCCAAGCTATCAGCAGTTCATTTGATGTACAGGGAGAGAACGTTCTTCCAAGTAGAACCATCAAAATGAGCAAGAATAAATCACAAAATTTCTTGACCGGAAAACTTTGTTCACGTTTAAATGGATTTCATGATTTCAAAAATATCATTTGAGCAAAATCACAGCAACTCTGCATAATTGTGTTGAATACTGAATATATGAAATCGCATTTCGTGTTTGGTTTGGTAGTTAACTTCGCGAAAGCATTCTTTAGGCACCCATTGTGGTACTAGAAACTAATACTAATTTTCAGTCGCTCAAAATCAGTAAGAAGAATGCTCGTTCGGACCCATAATTCAGTAGCTGAAAAATGTCAATAAACCACATACATGTTGATTTTGACAGTCCGATAAGCTATGCATATAATGAAACTAAAAAAAAAAATGAAAATGTGCAATCCAAATAGCTTTCACCTATGCATTTACATTTTTTCTTCACAATGGCTGCAGTCAAATAACAAAACTTAATTGCATTTCTTATTCACGATAATTAAACCAGTTCTTGCTCACTTATCCAATAAAGTACCACAAAAAAATCAAAGTTTTATCTAATCTGCCTTCACATTCTTCAGCGGGCCAAACAAAACATCCAACAATTAGGGAAAAATAAAATCAAAGAAAACCCTAACAGTTCATCTACCGTTACCATTCTAATTTAATCAAACAAACCACCAAAAAAAAAAACTCTAAATAAACGCAAAAATTAGCACAGCATACCTGGTGAATGTTGGTGTAATTGAACTCTTCCTTGAGCAATGGGACGATTTTATCCAGGTAAGTAGTCTTGAGTCGGCTGACTTTCTCGGCCTCGGTTTTGTCCACCAGGACGATCGACGACGTCGCTTTGACGGAAAGGCGGCGGGTCCGACCGCCGGGGAATGTGACGGAGGGAAGACGGACGCTGAATCGGCCGTCGAATGTGGACGCGGCAGAGTGCAGAAACGCGGGAGATATCGCCATTGAAGGTGGAAAGAGCTGCAGATTGAGGATATTAGATTCCCCATGAGAGTTTTTGTTTTCGGATGAGGATAAGAAGTATACCTAAAATTACGTATGTACCACTAGAGTATTTTTGGCTTGTTTGAAACATGGGCCAAATTGCAATTCTAGTACTCAGACTAAAACGTAATTACAAAGTTTAATCACTCACATTCACGTTGTCTCAATTTCTCTCTTTTTTTTTTTTTTTCNTCCCCAACACGATAAGAAATGCATTAATAACTCAAAAGATTGTTTTACAGACGACCAGCCAAATGACTGAACCAAGTACAACCCTAACCATAAGGCTGAGAAGCACCTAGAAAGAGGTAACATGTACTCCCTAAATCCGCAAGATAAGAGAAGCAAAGCCAGAAAAGAGAAAAAGAAAAAAAGAACAACTACGTCTGAATAACATTATATACACACCCAATAGTCTCACTAGCCAAAATACAGTCCTTGAGCAGTTGATTGACAGAAGAGGAGATGTTACTTCCATGCAGTTTATCAACTAGATTTTTGTCCTGAAGATAGCAAGTGAAGTTTGTCCAGTTATGATCAGCAGCAATCTCCAGGCTCCATTTAACAGCCAGAAGTAATATCTCCTCTTATGTACCTTTCACAACTACAATTTTGGACCAAGCCCTGACCTCTTTGTTTTCAAGCTCAACCTTGCATTGGAATTCAACACATTCTTCCAAGGAGCTTAAGGCAATGACAAAGAAGCTCGTTTGTCCTACCTTCTTGGAAAATTGCTCTGTAGAAGAATGGTTTGAAGAAGAATGTTGGGGTATAGGTTGTGCATCAAATTCAGCTCTATTGTCAAACTCAAGCCACTCATTGTAAGCTTTGTCCACAATATCCTTATCTATCCACTTTTCCTTGTTGCATATCCAAGCATTTCTAGCTTTCCAGAGGTTCCATATCAGCATGGCAGAAAAATTCTATCTGATTTGTTCTGCTGAAGATTGGTGTTGCAGAGTTCCAGCCACCAAGCTTGAAAGTTGGTTTTTTTGTTATGAAGTGCATTCCACTGGAGACCTGCAAATTTCCAGCAGTTGACAGCCCTTGGACAATGAAATAAAATATGAGCCAAAGTCTTCATCTGCTTCTCCACAGATGTCACATTTTGGATCAAGCAGCATGCCTCTGGAAGCCAGATCAACTTTAGTCCCTAGATAGCTGTGCCAACACCTCCATAAAAAGTTCTTCACTTTAGATTTCACCTGTAAAGATATTCTCCACATTCTGCTCAAATTATCTGGGTAAGAGCTAAATTCGGGATTATTATGAGAAGATTTAAAATTAGCCAGCACAATCCTATAGGCATCTCTCACTGAAAAAGTACCTTTAGAATCCCAATGCCAGATGAACCTATCTCTGCTACCCAATTGATTAAAAAGAATATTGAGAATGTATTGAGCATCTAAAGGGTTGAAGGCTTGGCAAATGAGTTCTATATCCCAAGAATTTGTGTTTTGACAGATAAGGTCTTTAACTTTGTGAAGGTGAAAATCTACCAAAGGAGAAGTGACACATAGGCTTGAAAGAAGAGTTATTAGGTATCCAAGGTGACTTCCAAATATCAATGTCCTTACCATTCCCCACCTGATATCTAATACCCAAGTCTAAATATTTCCTAGCCCCCAACCAGCTTCTCCATAACTAGGAGTCCCCACTCTTAGGTTGAACCTTACTAAAATTTTTATTCCTGAAATACCTACCCTTCAAGATTCTACTAACAAGAAGATTGGGTTTAGTAATGAGCCTCCACAGTTGTTTGACAATTAAAGCTTCATTGAAGGCTCTAAGGTCTTTGAATCCCATACCCTCAATCTTCTTATCTTTGACTAGATTATCCCAACTGGCCCAATGGACCTTGTTGCCACCAAACTCATTTAAAACCCACCAAAAGTTGGTAATGTCTTTGCTGATTTTATCAATAACACTCACTGGCACTCTGAAACAAGAGAAAACATAAGTATGAAGAGCAGATAATACAATTTAATAAGAACTTCACGATCTGCCTCACTAAGAAATTTATTTTTCCAACTACTAAGTCTATTAGAAACACACTCACTCACAAAAGCAAAAATCTCTTTTTTTTTTTTTCCTGCCAATGCCTAAGGAAAGGCCAAGATATTTAGAAGAAGAAACCCTAGAGATGCCAGGAAACATATTGCAGATAGCCTGAATAGAGTCATCAGGGGTATTTTTGGAGAAAAAAATAGATGATTTATCAATGTTGACAAGTTGACCAGAGTCATGACCATAATCAGAGAGCATGTTTATGATCATGTGAGCATGAGCTAAATTAGCTTTACAAAACAATATGGTGTCATCTGCAAAAAAGAGGTGAGAAACACAAGGAACATATTTACCAATTTTGACACCTCAGAAATTAGAAAATAATCTAGCTTGAGCTAACAAATTCAAAAATGCCTCAGAGACAATGATGAAGAGATAGGGGGACAAAGGGTTTTCCTGTCTTAATTCTCTAGAGGGTTTAAGAAATCCTAAACAATCAGCATTTGAAGATCTTGATTGCGCTTTCCTTTCCCTTTTCTATTTGCATTAATTTGCCATATCTTGATGGATAAAACGTGGAATTCGATGAAATCTCGATCGATTTCAAAGGAAACAAACTAATAGTGTTGTAGCAAATTATTTTATGTTTTTACCGAGTACCGAATCAAAAGATTCACTCCCCGGGTCGATCTCTCGAGGAAGACGGTTCGGAATTTAGCGTTGGTCTTGATCACACACGAAAAGAAAATAAGTCCTAAACACTCTAATCACGATTGATTTGGGGAATCAACTAAAACAAGCTAGAACCAGAAAAACAATTTAAAGAAATAACAATTAAATTTCTAGAGAAAAAGAAGAAGTTCTAGGGGTCGGGAAATCTCATCAAGTCTTAAACTATGTTGAACGCTTATTTGTTCAGTTACGAGATTAAACAAGCCTACACGTCTAGAGGGCTATGCTCAATAACTCTTCGTAACAAGAGCACAAACATAAACGATAAATTCATTCAACAAGCAACACATAGACAATACTTTTACGAACATGTCTACTCTATACGAGCCTAAATCGACCGACGTCTCCCCTCTCGGTTCTAAACGCCGATTAACTAGGTTAGAATGGTGATCAATCAACTAACCATATAATTCACACAACTCGTATAGATTAAACAAAACACATTCCTCATAATTCAGAACAAGAATCAAAATCCCTAACCCTAGGTGAATGGATTACCTCGTGCTTAGATTCAATTTCATGTTAACCAGAATTAAGAACATAAAACAAATCAACAATACTAAAATAGAATTGAAAAACTTACAATCGGATTAAGAGTTGCAAGATTTCAATCCAAATATCTTTGTGTCCAACAATCCAAGCATGAGAGAAAAAAAAAAAAGAAAAGCGGAGAAATTTATCCTAACAATATTGAGTTTTTGGAGAGAAAAATTGAAAGGAGCGATATTGGGGATTGTTCCTTAGGTCTGGGGGATCGTTTTGATATATAGAGCTCGAAAAACGGAGCTAAAACGAGTAAAAACGGAGAAAAATAAAAACAGAGTCGAACAGGTCGCGACTCGCGAGTTGACTCGCGACTCGCGAGTCTGACGGGTCGTGGGGTTGCGCAGCTGGTCGGAGGCTCTGTTAAAGTCGCGACTTTGCTCTCGCAAACGTACGCTCGCGAGTCGCGACTTTGGACTGCACTGCGCCATTTTACGTTTTGGGCTCGTTTGGGCTCGTTCGAACTCGGAATTGAGTTCCGTTTTTTGCTACGCGTCGCTAACGAACCCATCTATCCAATTGTGCTCTCGAAATCAACTTTTCCTGAAGATAAAATTCGCCCGAAGCTCCCGACCTACACACCAAAAACGACAAAACACAAAGAAAACGGGGAAAACAAACGAAAAAATACCTAAAGACTCAAAATGAAGGAAAACACATAATAAAACACGAAACGGACTAAAAACTAAAGAAACGACCTAAAACGGGAAAAAAAGAAAGATAAAATAAACACGAAAAACGCAACAAAAATAGGACAAACAAATAGTTATTGGAATAGTTGCCCACACGAGCATCGTGAACAAATTGTGCAAAAAGAACTGGACCGTCAAGATAATCTCGAGTGTGTTATATCCTAAATTTAGTATAATATTTATAACCAGCCGGACTTAAGTATAATTTCATTATTATGCATAGAATATATGCAAATATTGTCCCTTCTTGATGTATATAACTTTCAAAATAAATTTTGGTGGTTATTATTTGGTGTTTATTTTTTTTCTTTTTTGGTAGTTAGTGTAATGTTCTTCATCTCCATTATGTTTAATGAGAGGATAATTGCCTTTGGTTGAAAGCTTTGCTACAAAGGTGTAATATAATATTCCTTGGGTTATATTTTAAAAATTGAGAACTATATGAAATTTTAAATAAATATAATATTATTTAATTAGACTAGTGAGAATAATACGACTAATTTATAATATATTGGTGTTAAGCTGGATCCAAAATTAGAGTTGACATAACAAAGTCCAATACAATATAATTTTCATTGGGGCCCGAAAACTAACCTTAACTAAGGCCCATACACTAAAAAAGAACTTGAGGTAGGACTTATTATGTGATGTTTCTTTTTAGTACTATTTTTTTCATTTGGGGTCAATCTCCACAATTATACCCTAAAAGTGCACAACAAAACTTACCCTTAAATCCATCAATACACAAAGTAAGTTTGAAAACATGGAAAAATGAAAACTATTCTATGCATCCACACCATCATATTCTTCAAGTCTTCAATATGGAACTCATCATGTCCAAGCACGAACAAGCGGTGAGTGAGGGGACATTACACGAGGAGACGAAGCCATAGTTTCATCGTATATTCTCGAAGAGAAGCTGAGTCTTAAGTTCTTTTGCCACGGCTGCTTCACTTTCGCATCGACTTCATTCCCTTTCGCCACAAACACCCGAATTCTAGTGAGGGCTACTTTCAAAGTCTCGTCATCCATGTTGGCGAAGCAAACCCTGAACCAGCCCGGCTCGTGGCAGTGAAAAGACATGCCCGGAGACACGTTGAGCTTCACCTCGGATATTATGACCCTCCACAAGCCCATTTCGCCTTCGAATGTCGGCTCCTTTAACAGATGCCTTAAGTCCATCCAACAAAATAGGCCCGCGTTGCTTTCCAAGCACGTTATGCCCACCTCTTCTAGCCCTTTGGTAAACATCTCGTGCCTGTTTGCAAGTCTTCTCGTGTTCTCCAACATGAACTTGTTCGTGAATTCATCATCGGACAACATTGATGCCAAAAGGTGCTGCGTTTGGGACGAGACGAGGCCGAAGCTTGACATTTTTCTACCACGGTCCACGACAACATCATTGTACGAGTACATTATGCCGACCCTAAATCCCGGGAGGCCCATATCTTTCGACAAACTATAGACAATGTGTATTAGGTCTCGATTGCACTCAACCTCTTCGATAACTTCGGATACGCTAATGAACTCTGGCGCACGAAAAGCGGTGGCCGCATAAATTTCATCACAAACGAGGTGGATTTGCCTCTCATTGATAAATGTGACTAGGCTTTTCAAGGTGGGCCTATCCAATGTGGTGCCCAATGGATTGGAAGGGTTTGCTATCACGAGGCCTTTGACTTTGATGTTAGCCTTTTGGGCTTGGTCAAATGCTTCTTCAAGGGCTTCTTTGGTAATTTTGAAATTGTTGGAGCTTTGGCACATTACGGGTAGTAATTGCACACCCGTCCTCCATCTCAAGTCTCTATCAAATCTGTCCAAGATTAAATTTGAAATGCCGCTTTATAAGTAAGTGTGATGCTTTTAAATAACAATAATTATAACAATAACAAATTATTAAATAAAATGATATGTAATGTGTGTATCGTTAATTTAGCTACAAAACTCAAGCAATAACCTTTTGCATATATAAAATTAAATAAAGTTACGTAATTTAGATATGAACACCATCTACTAAATAAGAAGTTGACATTTTGCACTCCTGATTTGTAGTCTACTGGATTGCCACGTCATGGGACAACTTTATGAAAAATTGACACATTGAAAAACAAGAGGTTGACTTTTGAGTTCTTGACACCTCCTAATTCTTAATTCATTCATTATTTATTTTCTTTTTTCTTTTTTTCCATAACAAGTGTAAGGTCAGATATTAATCTCTCAATTTGGGTAGTTGACTGTATATAAAAGGAGTGTAGTAGTTTGGCTCTTTTAATGCAAATTGTCTTGGTCCAATAGTTGCTTGTTAACTCAAAACATTCTTAAGGAGAAATTGCATTTATATTTTATACGCTTACACCGCCTCACCAACCTTAATTAACAATTATTAATTCCCACGACACTGCTTAATGTCCATTAATTAATAAAAACCGTGCCGCAAAAATTGTTAGGCGGACTAATACAAATGTTTTAATATGTAATTTTTTTAGTATAACTCACACTAAGCTTCAGTTGAAAACAGTCATAAATTGTGTTGACAGACAAAAACCGTAAAAAAAATTGATATACTAGTTAAAGTGAAAAATTCGCAAATTTAGTTGGTGGATTGATTTTTATATAGAATAAGTGTAAAAAATAGTTTTTTATACCTAATAAAATTATAATTTTTATATAGTTATATTAAAACCATCCAATTATTTTGTAATGCAAGAATTATAAATTTATAATACCAAAAAATGTTTAAGAAACAATGCATGGAAGTACATTTTTCTATATATCGGTCTAAAATTAGGTAACAAATTGACCAAAAAATAAATAAATTTAAATATACTTACCCAGGATAATAAGGTGAAGGGACCAAAAATCCATCTCCAGCGTCAGCCAAACAGAACATAAGCAGCTCACTAGCTCCGGTCGCCCCACCGCCCATTACTATCCGGTCTGGGTCGAAACTGACCCGCCCGCCCCTTGCCTTTGACATGAACTTGGCCACACCCTGGAAAAATAATCGAAAAATTAAATTTTTGTGTGAGGCAGTCTAACAGTTAGTCGGTCGACTCGTCGTACTGTTTATTCATAAAAATACATATTTATATATACTGAAAAAAATCTCGTACTTTTATTTATGTTATTTTAAAGTTATTATTTCGAGTGGTGATGATTTACGTTTCGAAATTCGGGTAGGCCGTGATAATCCTGGTATAATGCAATGTTTCTGAATGCATGAACTCCTTCGCGCGTTGTGATTGAAGCTTTCTGGTTTTTGTCGATCCATTCTTCGATCATGTCATTCGAAAGCTGCAAAAATGTATGATAAATAATAATAAATAAAAATATTATATTTTTAATATTAAATCTCACATAAATAATTAAAAAAAAATCACGCATTAACATTTCATCAACAATTGTTTAATTTCAAATTTAGTTATTTTTGCACTTTTGAAAGATATATAGTCATGTTGTGTTCAGAGTTGTTAACAAATCGAGCTCGAGCTCTTGATACTTTAACTCAGGCTCGTATCCTCGTTGATGAGCTTAATTATGCTAAAAGTTAAAAAATTACATAAAAACCCCTATTTTTATTTTTTGGGAGACTTGAGCAAGCTCAAACTCGGCTTGTTTATATCTAAAAATTAAATAAAAAGGGTGAAAAAAAAAACCTGGTTTTCAGCAAGTCCCATTTGTATAACTCCATGAGGATTTTCTTTAGGGTGGAAAGGATTATTGTCATATGCTTTCCACCCATCAAAGTAGGGTGAGTTTTCGCCATGTTGATCGCTCGTCGCCATTTTCGACAATAATCGGCTATTTCCACTCCCAAATTCCATCTTCCACACCTAAGATGATACTATCAGCTGATACTATGTCTGTGTATGTGAATATGAGAGAGAGAATATATAATAATACACAAAAATTGAGCTGGAGTGAGAGAATGAGGTGGCTTGGGTGAGGTATATATAAGGAGTGATAAAAGGGACTAAGAAATAATTTTTAAAAAAATGTTAATTTTTGGAAAAAAAAAAAAAAATTAGGGAAAAGTCGGTTTCAACGTTCAAAACCTTGGAAAATAACTGCCAATTTTGTGGAGCAAAAGAAATAGAATTATTTTTAATGTGTTTTGGGTTTTTTTGGTCAAAAATTGTGAATTGGTAATTGCTTGCACTTTGTGGAATCCTAATTCTTGATGATTTGTTTAAAAAGCTGGACTCTGTGCATCGATCTACCAGCTGTACACACGTGGGAGGAGGCCGTGCGAGTATTATTAATACGATTATTATTGTTATTTTCATTATTAGTTTATTATTAATACGATTATTATTGTTATTTTCATTATTAGTTTATTACCACGTGTGATGAGATTATATTATTCTTATAACTACATCCAAATTTTAATATAAATTATGAAAAAAAATATAAGCAGCTATATTCACGAACTCTAGGCCTGTCAATATGATAAAAACAAGACTAAAAATTTTAAGTTATCAACTATATTTTCTTTTAGTTTATATCTATTTTTTTAAATAGTTATTGATGGGTATTTTCGGTATTTTGCCTTGTATTTTTCAGTACAATTCGGTATTAGCGTAAATTCGATAGTTGTGAATGTGTGTAATTAGAATGACTAATTGTGAACGTGTGTAATCTACCGTCTTAGAATCATGCATCCATTTATTCTTTCGAAGTCTACTTAATCACTTGTAAATTAATTATGCGGGAAATATTATGTAACCATCTTTGGGCTATTAAGTTCTCTACAAGTGTGGATGATGCCCCACTGACCACCTTTATTGCTTAATAAAAAAATCGTTTGTTTTAAAATAAAAGTGTTTAGTCTAATTTCTGGATGAAAATTATTAGAAGAAATCCTACAGAAATTCTATGGTGTCCATTAAGATATCATAAGCCATGCCACAATATGATGTGACATATGAGATGATTTTATTTATACTTATCAATTCCAACATGGAATTAATTAGGTGGCTTTTTTAAATATTTTACATACCAAAATTAATTAAAAAATTCTTATTCAAGAAAATCAATTCATAAATTGTTTCTCTAAATTCACCAGTAATCTCACGACCTCACTCATGCCCTCTTTTGATTTCTTATTTTTTTTTATCATTCATCTTTCTGTTTTGTTCCGTTCTTTTCTATTATTAATTATTTATTATTATTATTATNCACGGAGAAAAACTATTCATATGCTACTTCAATTCATATCTATAAAAATATTCTGATTATTTTTGCATCATGTTTGATTCTCATAACAGATGGGTAGAACAAAAAGAAAGTAGCATTATCGAAACTAATTAAAACATCTTGAATTTGGGGAAACGGCTTGATTTTCTTGAATAAGGATTTTTTAATTGACTTTCGTGAGGTTAGTGGTGAATTTGGGTAAACAATTTATGAATTGATTTTTTTAATAAGGGTTTCTTAATTAATTTTGATATGAAAAATCTTTAGAAAAGCCAGCTAATTAATGCCATGTTGGAATTGATAACTATAACTAATAAAATCACCTCATATGCCACATCATATTGTGGCATGGCTTACAGTACCCTAATAGGCACCATAGAATTTCTGGAAATTAATCCTATGATATTAAATGTCTATGACAATAATTTTATTTAAATCTAATTCATTAATATGCAATTTCATAATTTTCAAAATTGACCAATTCAATGATAATATTTCAGCTACAAATTTAAATATTGACTCAAATTTAGGAAGGAAACAATGTTTCCATTTGTAGCAACATTATCTTTAGTCACAAATTAATGACCCTTGGAATGTTGGATGAGTCAATATTAGTCAAAATTGATTGTTGTATTATAGGATGAGCCTCCTGTCCATATTTGGGCAGATATGTTTGAGGAATAAAATTTTGCATATTCAACCAATTTCCATAAATGTTTTAGATTGATAAGTGATTGTACTGCCACGCGGTTAGGAATTTAGGTATGTAATTAATAATGATGAAAATTGAAAATCATATGGGACGGAGTTCTAATTTCCAAGTATGAAGGGATGAAACTAGACATTCTATTATTGTACATTCTCTCATGCACCGGCCTCTTTTTTGTAATTTTCTTTTTCTTTTTTTTTTAATGTGTGTGAAAAAATAAAATTAATATAAATTTTGAGAATTCTTGCTCTAAATAATGTAAAAATAAATTATGTTTCATCCAGTCGATAATAAAGCTATAATAATGTGGAACATAAAATCACATTCCTTAAAAAAAAACATATGAGCATATAGTTTTCTTGTATAATATTGGTTTCTCCTTTGATTTGGTAAATTGGATAACTTTTAAATTGTAATTATTTTTTCACATTATTATTAATTTTTTTCACCTCTTTTCTTTTTATTTTTTAATTGAAAAAGAAAAAGAAAAAGTCAAACTGAGAATGTAGTTTAATTGGTTTATTCTTGTGGTTTGGTATAATTGACTTTGAAATTTAATTGTTTAGTCACATCATTCTAATTAATCTTTTCCTCTGTTCTTTAATTTAATTGAAAACCCAAAAATTAATATAACTATTTTAAAGCAATAAAAAAGGTTATCTCATGGCCTATATAGTTTTTACTATCATTTATGACTTAAAAAAAATCCTTACAGAAATAAAAAATCTAAAATATGACTAACAATATTATACCAGTTAAGCTGAAATTGTATTTGCCTTTATTGAAATATCTACGATTAAATGGGATATTTGTCGCCGTTTATTGACTAAATAGTCCACACGCATTCATTTGTTAGATATCTATGTGTTAATACTTCATACTTAATGTCATGTTCTTCGTTTTAAACATTAATAAAAGGCTAATGTCTCCATACATTCAATTTACATACATTCTTTTTTTTTTCTTTAAATAACTTATATTATTTGTGATTACAATATCTTTATTACTTATTTTTTTTTCATGTAACTATATAAATGAAATCTCCCTAATTACAATTTTAGTTAATGAGTCACTGTATGGTAAATTAATGTATCTATATATATATATATATATATATAATAAGAATTATCATTTACCAAAAATAGTAGCAAAAAAATAGGTCAAAATTTAATACAGCCTATAAATAATAAGTTTTATTATTTTTCTTCTTTTTTTCCTTAAAAATCATACAGCCTTAAATGTTATCTTAAATTTCGAGCTTTGGTTCATTTTATTATTTAAAAAATTCGGCTAAGATTTATTAAGTATGTATGTTTTTATTTTTATTTTTTTCTTAGAAACAACGAACAACATTAAAATCTCGGTCTCTATATTTATAAAATCTCAATTCAAAATATAACAAAAGTTTTAGAATCTCGGTCTTTATATTTGTGCCTCTAAAAAAATATTGAACGCTAAAAATATTCTTTAAATTGCATAATCAATCAATTATTCTTAAAATTACTATGTTTATTTTTTATTAATATGCATAAAGTAAAAATAATTAATTCATCTTTAAATATATAATTTATAATCTTAATATACTATCATTTGATGTAGACATTTATAATCTTAATATCGGGTGATTGAATTAGGGTACTGCCCAGGTTGATTGAATTACTTTTAGGTGATATTTAAAATAGTAAAAAAAAACTTTGACACAGCTTGGTTGGTCCTAGGTGACTAAGTTTTGTATCAGTTCGACCACTCAAATCGATTATTGAACCTAAATATAAATTTTATATTGAAAATATTTTATTACGTGAATGTGATTTAGTCCAAACTTCAAATAATTGTATTAACAATACTTTTATGACAACATGTTTAATAATTTATAAATATTTATATATCATGTTATTAATATTTATGTAAATTAAATAATATTTTATTATAATATTTATTAATGTACAATAAATATAAGGTTTTCAGAATTGGACCGTCATCGAAACGATCAAACTATTTTATTGAATCATTTGTGGTTTGTTCAGATTTTAATTTATAATTATTTTAATAGATATATATAGTACTTTTTGTAATAAATTTAAATAAAATGTGTTACTAGATATCTAGACAATTTATAAATTCAAATGTTTAATAAATAATTTATCAATCTATATTTTATTTAAATATGTAATTTTCTTTAAAATAATTTTAAATATAACAAAATTTACTTAGAATATCGTATCGATCCTACCAGTCCAACCCACTGGTGTTGACGGATTCGAGAGCAAATATTTTATTGAAGCGAACTAGACTGGTTATAAACCGGTTCTCGGTTCATCCGGTCGGACTGTGTCCAACCCGGTTTAATTTAAAAACAATGGATAAATTATGATTAATGTTATTTATATATTTAATTTATAATACAATCGTAATATTGTGTTCTCGTGTATCGCACGGGCCACGCACTAATTAACATTTCAAGATGAAGATATATATATGGCCAGCATTCTAGATGGTGTAAACAAATACAGCAAAGTCTTTTAGCTTTCTATAAACAAATACAGTAAAGTATCTTAATTTTTTTTTTTTCTTTTCTGATTTTCTTTTATGTAAATCAAGTCAAAGGCTTACTCGTAATCGTAATTTGGTATAATAATATTTGTTGCACAATCATATCAAATAATCTTGTTAATTTATACCAAGTGGGTTGGAGGAATTGTATACAAGTATAATATTTGTTGCACAATCATATCAAGAGGATGGAGCTTGTTTTATGAAATATACCAGTTAAATATTGTTTTATCAATTTAGAGATTAATCTGTTTTTAAGATAATGTGATAAATAAGGCAAAACAATCTAAATAACATGTCAAAATATGCCATGTTTATCTTTAACTGAATAAACTTAATCAATTCCTAAATTCACATCATATTTCTCGCTACTAATTATTCATTACACAGATTATTGGGTGAGACAGTTGATTTGTCATACTAATTATTCTCGCTACTCATAATTTTGCTCTGAAATGTTATGCTTCTATTCATAGAATTTTGCAAAGTATAATATTTCAATTTGAAAACAAACATATTCATCAAAATATTATGATTACATTATGGTTAGGTATGTCTACCAATAGGTTTATTGATTTTCCTATTATTAAAACATCAAATAGTAAAAACAACATTAGTATTAGTAAGAATTAATGATTAATAATGAGTTGAGCATAATGAACTAAACAAAAAGTCATAATTATCTAGCCTCACTAATAGAGGTATATTCTGACCTGGAGAAAGTCAAACTCATGGGATCAACTTGGACCTGCCTGTCTGGTTGTTTTCCAATATTGATGGGAAAAAATAACTAAATCAGAGATTTTTTGTTTACACTGTAAAACTATCCAAAATTTGCAACAATTATCCAAAAAAAGAAAAACACGATAATCACCACAAAATTGATTTTTCAGACTTTTTTTCATGTAGTAATAATTCCTACTTCATGTAAGATGGTCTCATGTCATTAATAAAATTTGACCCTTTAACCTATAACGGTTTAATCGTTAGGCGAGTCGATTCTATATGTGACGGTTTAATCGTTAGGCGAGTTGATTATTTATATTATGTAAATAAAAAATGCATACTTGTAAATAAAAAATTTGCACAAATTTCTATATGTGATGGTTTAATTGTTAGGCGAGTCCATTCTTTATATTATGTAAATAAAAAATGCATATTTGTAATCTCTGATGTCAGATGTCATACTTATGTTTATGTTGTTTTTAAAAAACGTAATATTGTCTAATAAAAGAATATATATTTAATAATAAATTAAATTTTGTCGGTCAAACAGAAGAACGATTGAGTACTGACAAATCTAGTAAGCGCGACAAATTTTTTATTTTCATTTCTCATTAATTTGATATGTCATATATATAGTGTGGGGAACGTACATGCGACATAATATTATCATAATTACATGGATTATAAAATAAAATCTCATAGAATAAGATTGCTAGGCAAACGTATTTTTCAAAAATAAAAAAAGATTAATGATTTTATGATATTTTAAAAAAAAATATAAATAAATATATGAAATGTACAGTGTACTTATACTCAGCTATTTTCTACTTATAAATACTTATGCATAAGCATGAAACACAAGTTTTTTCAGTTAAAAGGATAAGAATAATCAAAAAACCAAAAGGAAAGAAAATAAATAACAGAACTAGAATATCCCAATGGGAATACAAAACAAAATAATGGATGAGTAAAAAAAAGTAACTCTAATATGGACCTTTCGAAGTAACTTTAATGGAAAATCAAACCTACAAACTTGATTAAATTGAAAGTACAATCTTTTGACCTGTAAACGGGCATTCATTAGAGATGAATCAACCATTGACTATCCCTAAGTTTACCTACTTACTTTTACCATGAATCTTTATTCTATTTTAAGTAATTTATGTAGGTCTTAATTCTATTCACAAATATTAGGACATTTAAAATTATAAATACAATTGACTAACAAAGTTATAAATATGTTATAAAAGTTAATAATTTTTATATATGTTACATCAAATTGATCATCTTTTTTTTTAGCTTCGATCAGATATCCATCTTGTATATATAAAATAAATTATTATATTTATTTTATAATAAAAGTTAATTTATCTATTAATATTTATTAGAAAGTAATGAAATTATTTTTAAATTAAATGTATTAAAGTCATTTTTTTATATGAATTAGAAAAATATTATAATATAAAATGAATAAGTCATATTAATGACGATATGCCATTTTAAATATAAATAATAATGTACTTATAAAAGTGAAATGACATTTGAAAAAAAATAAGTTTCGTAAATAGCACTCGTGTTGTACTAGTTTTACCAATTAAACCCAACAGTATAAAACATAGAATTTAGATATCATTATTATGTTCAGCCCATAGCAAGCATAACAATCAAGGGGTGATTTTTATTTTGACCTTGACCTTAATGTAATTGCTAAAATCTCATATGACAACAGAGTGCAGGCACCAAATGAAGTCATGAAAATGGGACCCAAACATAATTTTTGTTCACACAATATATTATTCCACCCATTTCAAATTAATTGACATTTTACGTGTATAAATTTTGTTCCAAAGTAATTTTCATTTTGGAAATTCAAATTTTACTTTTGTAGACAAGGTTATCAAAATCGCGACTTTGATTCTCAATATGCTCTGTTTTCTATTCCTAACTAAATACTTTTCTACGAATGAAGTGGGATTTTTTTTACTACATTTGAATTGTAAGAATCAATAGGTCAAGTTATTATTTTTGTAATTTTATCTAATATATAGGTCAAGTTATTATTTTTGTAATTTTATCTAATATATAGGTCAAGTTATATATTTTTGCAATTTCAGTGAAACCTCTAAAACAACAATAGTAATGAAGTTTTTAGATAGACCTGATGATTTTCCACCATATATGTATACTTTCAAATTTGAAATATCTACTTAAAGAAAAACATGAACTATGCCATTGCATTAAATAATTATACATTTTGATTATAAAAATGTATGATATACCGACCCGTAACAGTTAGAATGTATCTTACAAGAATTTGTGAAACAATTATTAATTTGTCATGAATGGAATGAGTATCCAACATGCATTTGACATCATATTGACCTTAAATTATATTGATACTACTTGTTCTAAAACACCATATTTCACATCAATTTCATAGTACATATTTTTCCATTTAATTTAATATTTTCCTTTCATTCTCACATGTTTTTTTTTGGTCCACATATCCTTATAGACAAGAGATAAAATTTTGTAGGTCGCAGATTTCAATTCAATTTTTGCATCTATTTTGATTTTGAACTGATAAATAAGAATATACGGACATGGAAACAGCGGTGCAATAACAGAGGAAAAAAAGGTCAAACTTCAAAATGTTTTTGTGGGTACCTTTGTTGCCAAGGTTCAGCAGAAAATTTTCTTTATACAATGTAAAAGGAAGTGCATACCAAATTTCTTGATTTGTTAAAAAAAATACTCTCATATTAAACTGTAAGGGGCTACTGTTAAACGGGCATAACAATTACTTTTTCCATAAATATTCATACTTTCAAACTAAAATATCGTATTTTCAAAAACATCAACAAAAGTATAACATTTCTAAGATGAGTATATTTTTTAAAAAATATAACGGGTCGATCTGTCTAACAATTAGACTCATCTCAGATCTCAAATTGGGTTGTCCATATTTAAGCTCCCTAAATATTAGGATAGAGAATTTGAGTACAATCTTCATTAAATATTTAAAAATATTAGGGAAGGTAATGCATGGCAGAGACTTTAAGTACAGAATTTTACTGTAATTTTCACCCGATTTGTGGGCACAATGTATGTGTGTGTGTGTGAATATGTATAATTAGACAGTTAACTTGTAAAATCAAATCTACCGAGTTTTACAAGGCTAATTAAGACACACAAAATCTTTCAGACAATCTTTGACTGAAGAAAATCTGCTCAAAAGACGTGGGAAAAAAATCCTATATAGGAAGCTATAATCTGAAACCGAACGGAATTTTTTTGTACGAAGTCAATACAGTCAACTGAGTGCATAGAAGTAAATGGCTGTAAATTTCCAAAAAGAAATGAAAATATGAACTCATCCCATCGGTAAGTGAATATAGCTCCAATCCACACCAAATAGTATGAATTCATGCATACAAAAAAAAAAAAGTTGATTCTTGAATGTTAGATATATAATTCCGAAAACAAAAAAAGAAAGAACGAAAGAAAGAAAGAAATATATTGCACGAATATACGTCATATTTTACACACCAAAGATAAGTCATCAATCATGATTACGTAGAAACATACTCCAGGCTGCTTGAAAACTGCAGTAAAGCAAATGTGAAGGCAATTTAGAAAGTATAGGCTAAAGTCTATACCAAACACACTGAAGAATAGCCCAATTTAACTGGCATTGTTAGCTCTTAGCTGGTATAATTTGTCCGATCCGAACTGCAAGATATCAAAAACCATGTACGTTGTTTTAATGGAAAAACAAGCTACAAATAAAAATAATCACAAGAATATCATAAGAGTTGTTAAGAAAAAATTAGATTCCTAAAGTGATATGAGAGAATTGGCACTGGGAAAAAGAAAAGGCCAAAATAAAGCTCTTACTTCTTACCAATCAACAATGATTTTCTCAGAACATCAACAGCTTCTTTGCTGGCTGAATCATTTCCTAATGAAACCAGCTGCTTCAGAACTTGATCTTCTTCCAAATCCAGGTCACATGCTCTGAAACAAAAGGAAGCAATTCTGCCTCAGTGAAGCATGTAAAAAATTACAAAGAGATTACAATAGCTTCATATACATTTTAATTGCTGCAAGTTCCCTGGCCAAAGCCATATTTCTCTCCTTCAGTTTCATGCATTCTAAATTCGACTTATCAAGTTCCTGCAATTGATAAGTGTATAGTAAGTATTAACGTGTTTTTTCATGAAGCATGGGCACATGTTGTCGTGACAAGCTATTTTAAAAGTAAATTGCTTACTTCAGATTTCACTCGAACCAACTTCTGGCTGATTCCATTTTGAGTTACAGCTTCATTTTTAAGAATCACTTCTACTTCCAGTTGCTCCTTGCATGAGATGAGCTACAATAGTACAATAAAAGATCAGCATTACCTATTATTGCATCTTTAACAGAATAATATAAATTCCATTCGAGCTTAACTCAAACACGCCTAGTTATCAACTAAAAAAATTAAATCCATTATCTCATCTTTTACATTCATACATTCTTCCTGTTACTGCTCCAAAGTGGAAGCCACTGCAAAGTCCTCGGAATTTTCCACATAATTGTGTGGTTTTTGACATAGACCAGACTCATTTGGATCACCAATAGATTGAAAATATAAGTGCCCCACGTTTTAATCGGTACAAGTTTGCATGCATATAGGACAACTCCGCTTCTTCGCATTGGGACAGTACTCTAACCACTGCTGAAGGCTACAAAAGTCCCTAACGGTCAAGTCATGCCAACTTCTACCTCAGTTACAATGTTAAAAAGCCGAAGGGGTGAATTGGGAGTAGATAGAGTGCTGAAAAGGTGTGAGTTGGGGTAGATAGAGTGCTAGAAATGTATGTACTTAAAACTGAATAATTTGTCCAATGTATATATATGTAGCCAATATTAGTAAACTTGCACTTCAATTGTTCAATTCAACACATATATTTTATACATATATAGTTAACATAGTTATCGCCACCCAAATGAATCACAGCTGATAAATATACAATTAAATAAAACATTTTCTACTTTTATCTTATTTATTAAATCTATATGTTATTTAATATATCCGTAAGCTTCTAATATATAATCACCTTGCTCTCTCTCACTGCACTCTCATATATACTTGTTCCCCCAAAATACAGATAAAAAATTATTTCATCAATTTCCTCCTTTCTCTCTATCACTGCACTCTCATATATACTTGTTCCCCCAAAATACAGATAAAAAATTATTTCATCAATTTCCTTTTCATTTTCCTTTCAATCTGTTGTACGCTTATACATCACAACAGCGGATCCGGTAAGTGACATCATGTTCAGGGACATGCCGTATCCCGACCTTAGTTTCTCCAAGGTGAGTGACATCAGCAGTCATCCGCCAGAACTTGAGGCCCGAAATACCGAGATGCTACCTCAGCTCATTGGCCAACGTTATGAAAAGATGTTGGGATGCGAATCCGGAAATGGACAAGGTTGTCTCCATGTTGGAAGCCATCCACACATCCAAAGGCGGTGGAATGATCAACAAGGTTGTCTTTGTTTCCGTAAGACACGTGGCACGTGAAAAAAGAATAGGTGAAAGGAAAATAAACGAACCAAAGGAATTTCGGATTTACGACTTAGGTTCTGCTGGTTGTTCTAGGATTGAATTTGGAAAATTATTGCACGGTTGGGAAAAAAAAAATATCGTGCATTACCAATCGCACGACTACCCTTGCAACATACTGATCATAGGCGATTAACAAACAATATTTCTCCCTTACATCTATTAATATCTATTAATATCAGATCCTTGGACACATCTCGATTCTTGATCATACTAAATTTGAGCTATAAAGCACCATACTACTACATATACATAATACTTATGTATTGCAGGTTAAGATCCATCTAAATAAAATATTCAAGTGGACTCTAATCATGTCAAAGTTGATATGCCTCGGTTCATTTCAACCTATATAGGTGACTACAAGTCTACAACACAGACACCGATAGGGTCGAACCCTCGATAAACTTATATGTACAAATTGTTATCTTCTTGTAGAAATATCCAACGATAAATAGTTTGAAGATAGAAGGCTACCAAAAAAATAAAAAGAACACTAAAAGTAAAAGTTGGGTCAAATTCAATATCTACATGTAATCTAATCTCAGAACACAATGGAGCCAAAATCTAATGCAGACCCAGCTGCCGCATAACATCTAAAACAAAAGTAGTCGTTACAAAATACTCTTGTCAAGTCCAAGTGACATCAAAATCTGCCTCTCTTCCTGTGTAAAACTTGTTCAGTTATCTCCTATTTTGCTGTAATTTTTTTTCTGGCAAAATAAATACATCCTCTAATCTAGCATATCATCTCAATAGCACCGGGTAAAATGCTAAACTTTTTTGGGAGGAACCCCAAATGCTCCCCATCAGATTGGACAAAAATACTATTACTGTTGACAACCTCCTCGATCTCGATCGAACTTACACAGAAAATATAGTCAAGAAGTTGTAAGGATACCGAGTTGTGAGCCATCCTCAACAAATACTTCAAAATAAAATGACCAGTAATGGTAGACCAAAAATCAATAACCAATAGAAATAAATACAGTAGAAGTATGAATGATAATTCTTACCGTGCAAACTTCCCTATATCTAATTTATAATGGGAGCTTTTCAAATGGATGGACAGAGAGAGAGAGAGAGAGAGAGAAAGAGAGAGAGAGAGAGAGAGTGTGTACCTTCTTGAAGTTATGTTTTCCACTGATAAGTGTGTACGGTGTACCATTGTATAACTTATGCGGTTTGAGGACAAAGTCATACCATTTGAAGTCCTGAAGAACCACCATCTAAACACAAAGCCAGTGAAGTGAAATTCTTTATTATTATATTTTTATTTTGTTGAGCAGANTTCTTTCCACCTCAAAGTTGCCGCTACACGGGTGGGCATTCGGTGTAATCTTCATTCCCCCACCAAAATATTTGGCGTTCCTAATGCAAAGAGCTGTTACCTTAGGGTAAGTTTCCCACTCGCCATCGTCAAACTAGCAGGTTTTATCATACATGACAAGATATATCATGAAAAAAAAAAACAAATAATCACAGCAAAAACTCATTAAAAGGAATTAATAAAAGAAACGAGACAGATACCTTTATTCTAAGGTCCCGGTTATGGTGACTGAAAAAAGCTTGCAAAGCACCAATTACGTAACAGAGATTTCCAAACTTTTTGTATCTCGAAGCATAATAACCAGCCTTTGCACTCCTGCAAGGTTGAGATAATCATCAATAAAAAGTAAATATATATTTTTCGGTCAAGGGCATACTTCCACACATTCTCAAAAATTACATGCTTACAAATGAATATAGCAACATTAACAAAATAGTGTGGTTCTCCACTTTCACCAGCAAGAACTCCAACATCAATTTGTGATCTAATCCCTGAAAGTAATGTATTGTCAGGGTTGCTTTCCATTGACCAGGTTAAAAAAAATCTACCTAATGAGTCCTATAAAAGGAGAGGCAAGTAGGTTACCGTTAGAAATACGTTCAATGGCATCACAAGGATCGTTTTTCCTGATAATACCAAAGCAGGGAAATAGTCCAATTTAACATCAAGTTAATGAAATGGCAAAGTGCACGGAAGCTTCATTCATGAAACCAGAACCAGGAAATTGAACTAACCAACCAAACGTTCTTGCAAAATCAGAACCAGTTCCCAGTGGAATTAGCTGTATGAAAAGAAAGAAGACAACCATTCTACAATGATAATATCACTCAATTTTGAAAAGGGACTCATGCAGGAACTCAGTTTGGCTAATAAGAAAAAACTATTATCGCACATTAATGATGGTGGTTATTACTTACACCGAGAGCAGTAGCACGGACAGACTGATCATTATTAGAAACAGGTTTTCCATCCCAGAAAAAGCCATTAACAACCTGCAGTTATCAGTTTAATTAGGTATAGTTAACACACTGAGGATAGAGCGACATCAAAGAGGACACAACCAGTAGAATGACTTGCAATGAATCTATGACAGTTTGCTTTTCTTTATTATTTCCTTTTTGCTAAGGAAATAGATTAGATTCTGTAATTACAGTTTGCATGTATAGATACACGCAACTAACACTAATAAAAGCAATGTAACTAACACAAAAAGAAACAAAAATACACCTCGTGAATAGTTCCATCTCCTCCAACCGCAATCACTGCATCAGCACCGTCACGTATAGCCTGCCCAGAATAACAGTTAATTACACATCTAAATGGTTTTCTTT